CTGGACTTATTGGCTTTGAAAGTTTTTACCAGAAAGTGCCCTGCAGTTCCAGAACAAGCTGCTAGGGGGACCAAACTCACACTACTTATTCCTGACAAGATAAGCTATCTGTCACCAAAAAGTCAAGACCATAGCTTGTTCAGGACAAAAGATACAAAAACCGGAAGTTCTGCTGCAGTACCAAGGTCATCCACCAGGAGGCCCATACTTGACCTTGACCTTTGTCTTTCCAAGACTTACCATCATACCAAATATCATCACAATCCATAAAGGCGTTCTGAAGTTATGCTGACTACAAAGTTGCGGAAACACACACAGACACACACACAGACAGACACACACACAGACAGACACACACACAGACAGACATACAGACAGACACGCCAAAAACAATACCTCCATTTTTCATGGAGGTAATAGGTTGAGGGAGAAGTTTCCGGTACATGCACAGCAAATCATGTAAGGATGGAATGGGATGGGATGGGATGGTGGCCACTACAGCGCACACACATTTCTTGTGCATAATATAACAGTGCCAACTAGCTCGGACGCTATGTTCGGACTTTTATGTATTAAAGTTTTATGTAAGATTTGTGTAATCTTATATGGTCTAGTCAGCGTGGCGTATTAAGGACCCTGTGGTATCATCTGTTATAGGAAAGCCATTTTAAGACCTTCTATGGTTAACACGTGTCACCTGATATTTTACTGACCCTTCAGTTCTTATTCTTCACATCCCTACCCCGTCCCTAGCTAGTCCCTATCTTTTAGTCCCTTCGGTCATGTCGGTCGTTTCTTTTTTGCCTCTACATTTCGATCCAATTATCTGCAATTGTCTGTCATCACGAGTACTGGCGCTGACAATTTAATCTCATCCAGGCACAATTACATCTCAAACAGGACCCAGATGAGACGATCAGTCTCCCTGTCAGGAGTCGTGATATCCAATCAAGCAAACCAAGACAAGCTGCTGCTGTCCGGACAACCAGCACAGGCGTGAGGGACTCGAT